TCTCTCTCTCTCTCTCTCTCTCTCTCTCTCTCTCTCTCTCTCTCTCTCTCTCTCTCTCTCTCTCTCTCTCTCTCTCATGATGTTCGGAGTGGTCGAGAATAGGAGGGGCGGTTGAATGAGATTCTTGTGTGTATGTACATGGAGCACTAATGCCACATGGATCACAAGCGATCAATGTGAAAGTTTGTGCGATACATAGGGTTTGATACTCGACAATTATCCAATCAAGAGATGAACACGGATAATAAGTGAAACTTCAAAAAAAAATTATCTCTCTCTCTCTCTCACACACAGTTTGTCCTTCTTTCTTTCTTTCTCTCTCTCTCTCATAGTTTGGTAATGATCCGGGTGCAAATAACTAACAGATATTTGCCGCTTTCCAAGCGATCAATGGAAGTGGAAATAAAAAACCGCAGTAGGGCAGACACATGTATCAGAAGCAATAAATGCGAGATTCAGTTTGTTAATGTAGGTGTTTACATGTATATATATGTATATATGTATATATATGTATAATCTCTGTATCAATGATCAATGATGCCACATGATAGTATCCACGACACATAGGGTTTGGTGGTACTCAATAAGTATCGACTTAAGAGATGGTCTTTGGGGCTCGTTCGACACTCCTCAGGCGCGTAAATTCCCCGAGGAACTGTTCGTTCCACCTATCCTCGGGGATGCAATCAGAAAAAAAAAAGTGAAAACACTCCGAACACTCCGAAGGAAAAATTCCTTGGGCTCCGAGGATTCCACAACCATTTCTTCCTTTTGCCCAAGGGACCTGAGGTCCCTTGGGCAAAAGGAATCCGCGTTTCACGGAGAGGAGCGGGCACATGGGTAGAGAGACGTTACAACCAAGAATCTGGATCGTGGCGGCACCCTATTGGCTGAAGGCTTCAAACACATTTAATTTTTTTTTCTTTTTCTTTTTCTTGTCTGACATCACTCCAAGGAAACGTCCTCGGGCGACATTCCCGAGGACAGGTGGAACGATGGCTCCGAGGACACCCCAAGGAGTGTCGAACGAGCCTCTTTCTATCATTATCTGTTTTTATCTTTCCTTTTTTTTTCTCTCGCTCTCGCTCTCACTCTGTCTCATAGTCTTATTGATTGAAGAGATACTCTCGCTCTGCTTCTTTTGTTCTTTCTCTCTCTCTCTCTCTCTCTCTCTCTCTCACTCTCTCTCTCTCTCTCTCTCTCTCTCTCTCTCTCTCGCACTCTTATATATTTCCTTTTTCCATTCTTTATCTACCTCTCTTTCTCTCTCTCTCTCCCCCCCTCTCTCTCTCTCTCATAGTCTTATTGATTGAAGAGATACTCTCGCTCTGCTTCTTTCTCTCTCTCTCTCTCTCTCTCTCTCTCATTCTCTCTCTCTCTCTCTCTCTCTCTCTCTCTCTCTCTCTCTCTCTCCCCGTGAATTATCTCTCTTTCTCTCCCCCTCCTTAGATTTCTCTCTCTTTGTCTCTGTCT